ACATTTGTAATGGAAACACTGCAGTTGTAATGGAAACACAGCTACTCAGGCAGATAAGCAAATCTACAGAAGTCAGCCTGTTCCAAAACAAGTTGTGTTTTTCTGATTCGGCCCCCTTATGTGGCCTTGAAGGCTGGATTAAAGTCTCCTGGAAGTTATGTCAACAGAGGCTCTTCAGCACCTCCCTCCTCCCACTCACAGCCGTGAACTGTCCAAGGCCGAACTGACGAACTCTACATCCCTGCAGGAACTGTGGTGGGTGGAGCTTGAGGACTTGTTTCATAGTCTTACTTAAAGATGCAGACACACGTAAAAAAACACTACACAGCTTCAGATACACCCCCCTTAAATCACCGTCTTTGTTGGTTTAAATGCGCTCTACACACACAGAGGTTTTTTCTGTCTAAGGGTGGCACCTGTTCAGGCTGCAGGACCGGGACACCTGTTCTCCCATGTTCCTTTGTATTTGTCTCTCTTGGATGGGTTGTTCTCAACTGTATTTTGTTGTGTTTAATGGGACAGTGACAAATAAAGTCATCTGGATCTGAATCTAAAGATAACTTTCACCAAGGAGTCAGTTTGGGACACGCCGAACCACCAGGTGGTGCCGTTTGACCAGACCTAAAGATGCTGGTTGACAGACCATAATATTCAGATATTTCTTAATACCTGAATATTATGGTCTGTCAGACAGCATCATCAGGTCTGGTCAAACGTGCCGTTTGACCAGACCTGATGATGCTGTCTGACAGACCATAATATTCAGTTAGTCTGATTTAATGCTTTCTGGGTGCTTCTTTTTGAGACTCCGTCTCCCTCCACAGCTAAAGTTAGCACCTAGCATACAGGCTAGCAGTGGATTGTTTTTATTTGAAGGATTTGTGACGCAGTGATGTCATGTCGTGTTTGACTGAAGGGACTCACGGCCAGAAATGCCAGGGTGAAGAAGAAGCCGATGATGACGTTGGCGCCCAGCAGGATGTAGTGTTTGAGGATGGGGAAGCAGGGCTGGAAGAAGAGACGGGATCAAGCTTCAGCTCCTGTCAGACTTTAAACTCATTAAAGTCGTCTCTCGCTGACTCACCTTACTGTAGACCGACGCCGTGCCGTAACTGAAGAAGGAATTTCTCTTCAATAAAAACATAAATTAAATGAATGAGCGACTTCAGAACCAACAGGTAGGAGAAGCTGAGCGCTGATGCTCACCAGGTTATCCACACGGCTGCACTGGTCCTCCTCACTGGGCAGGCACCAGCAGGAGTCGGGGAACTGGTTGTTCCAGTCGCTGTAGCTGAACAGGCCGCAGCAGTGCAGCTAAAACC